ATTTACTGTCTTCAATTTCTTTGCTCCCATTATCTCTTGAACACACTTGAATCAGGCTTTTACTCCTACCACTCCATCAATGTCTACATCAGTATAGCCAATGACAATCAAAATTCTAAGTTCAATTGTCACTAATCTTTTAATATCACTTCACTCTCTCATTTCTGGAACTTTTTTTCTTGGCTTCCAAGACAATACACTATTTTGGTTTCCTCTTGCCACATAGGCTAATTCTTCCTCTTCTCCTTTGAATTTTCTTCTTCCTACCCCCAACCTCTGAATGTCAGAGTAACTTAGGACAATCCTTGAATTACTTATCTTTTCTATGTATGATCACTGTTTTAATGATTTCATCTAGTCTTTAGTTAAAATACTATCTATATACTAACAACTTCAGCCCTGGACTGTCTCCCGAATTCTGAACTTGAATATCTGAACGCTTTTTCAGTTTTCACTTGGATATCTAACATTTCAAAATTAACGTGTCTAAAACTGAGCTATTAAACAACTCCATAAAACAAAACAAATCCCAAACCAAACCAAAACAAAAAAACCCAAAACCAAAACAAAAAAACCCAAACCTGTTGCTGTGGGGTCGATTCTGATGCATAGTAACCCTACAGGACAGAGTAGAACTGCCCCATAGGGTTTCCAAGGAGTGGCTGGTGAATTCAAACTGCCAACCTTTTGGTGAGCAGGTAAGCTCTTAACCACTGTGCCACTAGGGCTCCAAAAAACCCCAAAGCAATGACTAAACTTTTCCCTTTATATCCCTCCAGTTTCTCAGGCCAAAAACCTCAGTTTGCTTTGAGTTAAGCTTACTTCCTTTTTTATTTTTTAAATATTCATATGCAAGATTTCAACTTTTCTTTCAAAGCTTATCTAGACAAAATGTGACAATCTCCCACCATCGTCTCTCAAAACATTTTGATCTAAGCCACCGATGTATCTTCCCTGGGATTATTGCAGTGGTCTCCTATCTGGGCACCCAGATTCTACTCTATCCTTTAAGTCTCTATTCTCAACTCAGAAACTAGAACTTCATTAATATAGAGTCAGTGAGAAAGATTTTATTGAACAGTAATATCTTGTTTAATAAATGCATATGAAAATTTAAGAGAGTGAAAAACATCTGAAAGGGACCTTTAGGAAGCTTTTAAGAGAAGTGTCATTTACTACGCTGCTTATGAAAAGTTGCAGAAAAGACCTACACTATTTATTTGGTATCTTAAGTCAAATTGTTGTGTCTTTGTCATCAAAACCTCCAAAGGAATTTATAATTTCTTAGTGAAAGGTTAAATTCTCTCATTAAACAAAGATTTATGGATGGTTATTTTGTTCCCAGCCTAATGGCTTATCTCCACAGTACTTCAATCAATAAATAGCTTTTATTGCTTCCCACTACATGTGTGTGTGTGTGTATATATATATATTCACAGACGCACACACATATATGTGTATATATTTTTTTTTATTTCTAACATGTTATTTATTTTTTTTTATTGAGCTATTAGTTGAAAGTTTACAGAGCAAATTCCATTCCCATTGGATAGTTTGTACATAAAATATTTCATGGCCTTGGTTTTGTTCACCACAGTGTGTCAGCACTCTCCCCATTTCCATCCTGGGTTACCCATTTCCTTTCATCCTCATTTTTTACCCCCACCTGCCTTCTTATCTTTGCTTTTGGGCAAATAGTGCCCTTTTGATCTCGTGCAATTGATTGTTCTAAGGAGCAGGTTTCTCTCAAGTGTTATTGTTTATTTTATGGGCTTGTCTGTTGTTTGGCTGGAAGGTGGTCTCCGGGAATGGCTTCATTCCAGGTCAGAAGGGTGTCGTAGGGCCATGGTGTTGGGGGTTCCTTCAGTCTCTGTTAGACCAGTAGTCTGGTCTTTTTTGTGAATTTGATTTTTTGTGCTACATTTTTCTCCCACTCTGTCCAGGACCCTCTGTTGTGATCCCAGTCAGAGTGGTTGGTAGTGGTAGCTGGGCACCATCTATTCTTCTGGACTCGGGATTGTGTAGGCTGTGGTTCATGTCGTCTGTTAGTTCTTTGGACTAATTGCTCCCTTGAGTCTTTGGTTTTCTTTACACTCCTTTGCTTAGGATGGGAAGAGATCAATTGTTGTGTCTTAGATGGCCACTCTCAAGCTTTTAAGACCCCAGATGCTACTCACCAAAGTAGGATGCAGAACATTGTCTTTATGAACTATGTTGGGCCGGTTGACTTAGATGTCCCCCTGAGTCTATGGTCCTTTGCCTTCGAGCCTAGAAAGTTCATCCCATAAGGTGTTTGGTTAGGTCTAAGAGGTTTCTCTTACTGTGCCCCTTGTGTGGTCTATTGTCTATGTTAATATATAAGGAGCACCTACAGTCATGTATGTAGAAACATCCACCACCAAACCTGTATCTGCCAGTGGGTATGCTCTCTTATACCCTCCAGCTACATGTTTTTGTAAAATATATTTTTAAAGCAGATAGCTGTCTGAATTATGTAACATTAAGCTCTGGATTATGCATATGCATTTAAAACTCCATGTCTAGCCTCCCTTAAAAGAAGCTCTCGACTCTAGCATGACCGGCTCTCTGACATTTCATCCATTCATTATCAACAAAAGGACTCATTTCTCACCTTATGTGTTGGTAAAATTATAATTTCATTGTTAATGTTAAAAATTTTGCCTTTAAAAACATAATTTCAGTTGGGATAGGGTTTGTTTTGATAACTTTCTCATAGGGATTCTATTTCTGAAAGATATTTAGTTATAAGGGGTCAGCTGAATCTAGAGGATATTTGGTACATTTACTTGGTATACGGAGAAAGTTTTTGGAAGGGTGTTATTTGCTTCTTGACGTCAATTACCTTCACATTTATTTTCAATAATAAAAAAGATACACTTCCATTTTAATTGTCTGAATAAATTTGATTTCCCCTCTAAATGTTATAAGCTTTTCAAAATTATTTGGAGTTTCAGTTAATTTTAGGTACCACTGATCAGTAATGGCAAATTTCCTTTTCTAAATGAATTCAGACTAGTTGGATTTATGTGAATGTGTTTCTCAGAATGACTCTATTTCCATACATTTTCCAGTTATATGTGGTTTTGCCTAGTCTAGAGGATTCTTGGTGGCTTGGGGGCTTGTCTTAGTCATCTAAGACTGCCGGCCCTTTGCTGTGGCTGGTCCTCTGCTGCTGCTTCTCATCATCTGTGCCATCTCCATTGTTAACAGTTCTCCTCACTTCCTTCTGAGTCCTCTATCCATTCACAGTTTCAAAACTGCTTCCACATTTTAGGTATCTGTTACTGCAAAACCCCATTCTTGGTACCAAATTCTGTCTTAGTCATCTAGTGCTGCTGTAACAGAAATACCACAAGTGGATGGCTTTAACAAACAGAAGTTTAATCTCTCACAGTGTAGTGGGCTAGAAGTCCAAATTTAGAGTGTTAGCTCCAAGGGAATGCTTTCTCTGTCGGCTCCGGAGGAAAGTCCTTGTCATCAGTCTTCCCCTGGACTAGGAAATTCTCAGGCGCAGGAACCCTGGGTCCAAAGAACATGCTCTGCTCCCAGCACTGCTCTCTTGGTGGTATAAGGTCCCCATGTTTCTCTGCTTGTCTGTCTCCCCTATATCTCAAAAGAGACTGGCCCAAGATACAATCCAATCTTGTAGATCTCATCAATACAACTGCCACTAATCCATCCCATCAACATCATAGTGATAGGATTTACAACACATAGGAAAATCACATCAGATGACAAAATGGTGGACAATCACACAACACTGTGAATCATGGCCCAGCCAAATTGATATTGGGGGATGCAATTCAATCCATGACAGGGCTGAAGGCCTTTTGAGTAAGGATGACATTTGGGGGATTTAAGGAGGTTATCTCCTTGGGTTTAATTCTAGGTTGACCTCATGTTATCTGATTCCTCTAAGCCACTGTGAAAAATGGGCAGTAGTCTCTAGATACCATTACTCTTTGCTCTCTAAGCTTGCAGTGTGTGCAGATAGTGGAGTTCACCATATAGTAGTGATGAATAAAATAATAAAGAGCATGGTTGACGTTTTAAAAAGGATGATTATTTAATTTTGAATTAAAATAAATGGAATCTCATTAAAGAAAAGTTGGAAAACACAGAAATGTAGGGAAAAAAACTCCTGAAAAAATAACCTATAATCTAACCAACCCAAAGATAATCATCTGTAAAATTTTGATGTATCTCTTTGATCTGTCTTTCTCCTATGTGTAGATCTTTAAAAACAAAATTTTGATTAAAATCTTATTTTTATAATTTCACATTCACTAGAAATGATTGTTGTCTGATGGTTGTCATCTTCATATTTAAATGAATATTTTCTTCTATAATTCCATGATACTTTTGCATATTCATATTACAATTCCTTTTTGATCCCAAGTATGGAAATGAAAATATATTTAGTTGACAGAAGGAATTAAAAATTAAAGAAGTGTTGACAGCAAGTTAAATTATTGGTTGTATGATTACTGTAATCTATTATCATGATGTTAGCAGGCAGATAAAAATAAAGCAGTACCAGAGAGGAGACATTATTAGGTGTGGGAAGTATAGATGTAACATGATCCATATTGAATAAATGGTGGAGAAAATAGTATCAAGGGTAATTGTAATCAGTTGTGTTGCTTTCATAATCTTCTGTGGCAGTCTTATAATCAAAGGTAGTGTCATAATATGTGCTAGGGATAATTGTCAGAGTGTCATCAGTTGTGGCTAGTACACTGGTTGTAGTGCCAGTTGGTGAAGTTGTAGTTTCAATAAGGGTGTTAGCATAAAGTGTGGAAGATATAGATGTGGTGGGGGCTGTGCTGGGAACAGAAAGTGAAGTGGTGTCAAACACAGTGGTGGTCATTGATGCAATGGTCACTGTTGTTGTGGAAGGAGATAAAGTAGTGGTGGCAGTAGCTAAGGCTATGAGTATGATGTCAGTGGCAGCAGATGTTAAAATAGGTGTGAAAAACATGGTTGTTCCAGGCTCAAGATTATCAATAGTTATTGAAAATGATGTATCATCATTTGTAGTATGGGTCAAGGTGACCGTTTCAGTATTAGATGGGGAGGTTGGGTCAGATTGGATAGTGGCTACAAATGCAGTGGTGGTATTAGCAGATAGGGAAGCAGCAGAAGACTAAGCAGCAGAGCGAGGTGTGGTAATGGTTGTGGGGAGGAAGTTAGTAGTGGTTACTGTGGAGGTGGCAGGAGAGAAAGTAGTGACTTAATGTTGTCTTGATGGTAATAGTGTTAGTGATAGTAAGGGTTGTGCTGGCTATGATAGTGGATGAAACAGATGTTACAGCAGCTATTGTCATACCTGCAACCTGAATTGTAGAAACAGATATTTTGCCAACAGATTGAGATGATGGGGTGGGTTTGGAGGCCAAAGTAGTGGATGAAGGAATGGAAGTGGCATCTGACGTAGCAGATGTGGTTGGGATCTTTACTATGGTAGTGACCATGGATGTTGTGGTTCTTTCCCCAGATTTGGTTTCAGAAGAAACGGGAATGCAGATAGAGGCAAAATACTCAGTGGAAATAAGTACGGAAGCTGATGGGGTTAAAGCATCAAATGTAGTATTTTCAGGTGTTTTCTCAGGTGCCAATGTGGTGTCAGCAGATGAGCTGGTAGGAATCTCATCTGTGATAGGAGCGTCAGATAAGGTGGCTGTGGCTGCAGATAGGGGCCTTGCAGAAGATTTACCACTAACAGATGTGGCAATATTCGTGGAAGTGGATGCAATTAGTTTCGTGGTAGTGACTGCAGGTTTGGAAAGTGTGGTGCCAAATGAGGGTGGCTCTGGATATGCAGGCTGCAGTGGAACTGGATGAGGTTCATGTCCACTGGGTTTGGGATTACAAGAAGGATTTGGGTGACGTTTTGGAGAGAGAGATTTGTGTTTCTTAGATGGATTTGAATGATGCTTGTATGAACCAGGTTTCTGTGGAAAAAATTTTAGCGTACTAGGATTCCAATGTGAAAGATGGTTTAGGTAAGATATTGGTTTGTCAGGTTTTTTCTGGACAAGTCTGTTTTTGAGATTGTTGTTTTGTATGTTGAATTACTTTTAGTCTGTATGTTTTTGCCTGAGTTTTTGAGTGTCCAGGTTGTTTTAGTCTTATTGATACGATATTTTCTTTGGTTAATTTGCTGTGGAAGACAGATTTTTGTTTGCCTGGATTTTTTCTTCAGGTTTGTATTCATATTAAGTTTTGACTGTTTAGATGTTTCCTGTGGTTTTGACTTATTTTGAGGCTGACCATTTTGTTTACCAGCTGAAGTTGAAGGAAGTTTAGGTTGGTGTGGATTTTGTTGACTGCTGGTACTGGATTGAGATTTCTTTGGTAATATGATAGCAGTTTTTCATGGATAATATTTGACAGTGCTGGATCTTTTGTTAACTGTCAATTTCCTTTAATTAGGTGTTGGTGGCCACTTAGTTGTGCTGAATATTTTGGCTTAGGATTTTGTTGGCCCAGTTTTAGGTAAATTCTTTTTTGCTAGGTTGTTCTTTTACATTTTTATTTCACTGCTGTTCAGATCTTGTTGTTGGCTGAATTAATGAATTTTGTTTAACTTTAGTTTGAACATTTCTTTGAAATTGAAGTAGATTTGGATTGATCTAGTTTAGGTTGGATATAAGCAACTGAGTGTATTTTAGATTTTTTGGTTAACTTAGTGTAGATTTTACTGGATAAGGCTTAGACCTAGAACTTGTTTTAGGTGGTAAATTCACATAACTTTGGGGATGAAGACTACCTTGTCGAATGGAGGAGATTTGACTAAGATTTACCTTTTTAGATCTCTTTAAAGAAGTAGGATTTAAGTGGGTTTGGGAGATAGCAGATCTTTGTTGACTGGATGGATTTGATTGAAGTCAAATCTGACCAGTTTTAACTGAATAAGTTACATACTGAAGTGAAGCTGGTCCTTGAGAAGGTGACTTTGGTAATGGTATATTTTTTGGCTTATGTCTGTCTTTTGTTCTAGCTGACTGCAGAAATAAGAAAGAAAAGCATTAAGCACATATAAGTTTGCAAGTACTGTCTTCAGACCCAAGCCAGAGGAACTCCTGTGTCCTGCTGTTAAGAGGGCCCTACTTTGACCTTCTCTTGGCTATGGGGCCAAGAGGGCAGAATCACCTGGAGATTCTCCTTACTCCTCCCACCCCCACCGCCCTCCTTTTAGGTCATACTTTGGTATCGAGATTTTGGAATACTTTATCCAACTGGTCCTAAGCTCACTTCCAGAATCTGCAAAAGACTTCCCTGGTTCTATCTTGCTAAAGGTGGACTGTGCTGTCAGTAAGTACAAGCATGCCTAGGCCTGAGGGATAGTTGAGGAGGATGTTTGGGCTGCAGTAGGCACATTTGTATTTATTTGACCTCTCACAGTATATGGTGGAGCCAGGGATGGGGAGAGAGGTGGGTGGGCTGCAGTCAGGGGCTGAGAACCGGGAACTGGATCTTTGTTGCTCTACCATCTCTGACAAAGAATTATTGAATCTGAGAATTCTAAATTTGAAATTTACCTTGCAGGTCTTTATGAAGATGTATTTGATGGCGATAAAATATGTTTTGTTTAACAGTATTATCGCTTGACTTATAATTTTAGAATATTAAACATACAGTATGTGAGTTTTCATTTGTGCTGTTGCACTAGGCTCTATAAACATTTCAGGTGGGCCTGAAAATGACCATTTAAAGTTTCAAATATAAACATTTTGTAGAAGTGGGACCTCAATACTATAGAATTATAATGTATATGAATCTTCTGCAATCCTGGAAATACTTAGTGTATTGAAAGCAGAATTTTCAATCACAGATGATCTCTATACCATTGTGTTTCTCAGCTCTGGGTATGATGCTAAATCGTTCATTTTACTTGTGGATTACAAGTGCCTAAAGGGATCATGTCTTATTTTCTTTATATCCACAATACTTAGCTCAGGGTCTTGCACGTTTCTGGGACATCATACTAATTTATGAATATATATAAAAATATATAAGCATAATTGTGTAAAAAATATATATGTCTCATTGCCATAGAGTCGATTCCAACTCATAGCGACCCTATAGGACAGAGTAGAACTGCCCCAGAGAATTTCCAAGGCTGTAAATCTTTATGGAAGCCGACTGTCACACCTTTCTCCCGTGGAGCAGCTGGTAGATTCAAACAACTGACCCTCTGGTTAGTAGCCAAGCACTTAACCACTGTGCCACCAGGGCTCCTTGTATCTAGATCTATCTGTGTACATATGTGTGTATATTGTATATATCTATATATGTGTATATATGTCTCTCTTTATATATATTTGCACTAATCACTATTTTTGCAACAGCTTTGTTACTACTTTCATTTTATCCCTTAACATTCTCAATATACCCTCAGTCTACCAGTATTCTAATATTAATGAATCCTATTTCTGATAATGTTTCTCTTTACTCCAAATTCTCATTTCATACAGCATAATTCAGATTTAATGAATAAGGGACTGACTCCAAGTTGGTCACTCCTGACCCTCCATGGAACCTCATCTCCCTCAACTCTCCTGCACTTACCTATGTTTTAGCCAAGCCCAACCACTTGTCACCCTCAAGATGTGCTCCTTATTTTACCGTCTCTGCATGTTTAAATCTTCGTTCTTGGTGAGACCCACATCCACCCAGCTACAGTGGTTTTACCTCCATAAAACCCTGCTCATCTTTTCTTCCAGAAATGGACCCTATATTTTCTGGACTCTTATGTCACTCTAGGCATATGTCACATTTAGGTTTTCTCTAGTTATTTGGACATATATGTCTTTCCCCCAATAGAGCTTAACTTCTTGAGGCTAGAGAGAATGTTTTATTAACGGTTTGTATCTATGTTTTTAATCACTCTGGCTTCCATTTATGAAGTGTTCAAACTATGTTGATTGAGCAAGTATTTGATTATATCTAATATATAGGTGGCACAAAATATTAAGTACTTGACTACTAGACAAAAGGCTAAAAGAAGAAGGATTTAAATGAGTTTGGGAGACGACAGAGCTTTGTTGACTGGATAGAATTCACTGAAGTCAAATCTGACAAGTTTTAACTGAAAAAGGTACGTGCTGAAGTGAGGCTGGTCCTTGAGAAGGTTAATTTGGTAATGGTAATGTTTCTAACCCACCCAGCAGCGTCTCAGGAGACAGGCTTGATGATCTGCTTCTGGAAGATCACAGCCTTGAAAACCCTATGGAGAAGTTCTTCTCTGCACACACGGAGTCACTATGAGTCAGAACTGACTCGATGGCAACTAACGACATAACAAGTATCACTGACTGCTTCAAACATTCGTTTGCCACATTCACTAGCTTGAATTCCTTCCATTGAACTTGATTTTTTTTTCACTATTCCTAGAGTTTATCCAATACTCCAGAAATGTCAACTCATCAGATAAAATGGCTAAAAATTAGGAATAAATATCCAAATGATGTATCAGTAAAATAAATTATGGAAAATTCATAAAATGGAAAAAAGTAAAGCCTTTAAAACTATATTAATAGATTTTAAAGAAATTATATTATAATTTAATTTAAATTATAATTTAAAAGAGTAAGCTATATCACTAAACATCACAGATACAATATAATTTTAGGTAAAAAATTTGTAGCAGAGAGGAAGATAAAATATACCACAATATTAATATTAATGGTTTTTTTTTTCTGCTAATTATGGCCTTTTTTTTTGCTTCTTTGTACTTTTCTGTTTTTCCTTAATTTTTCTACAATAAGCTTGTGTTACTTTCATCAAGAAAAGTACAAAAAGAAAATTACCAGAGTGTTTTGATGCTATCTGGGGGCTTGAACTGAGTATACATGAACCCAAGATATGATAGCCTTGAAGTAAACAGAAAATACAGCATTTACCAAAGAGACAAACACATTTCTCTCAGCCTGCCACTCACTTCTTCTTTTGTTTTCTTCTTCCCTACTTCCTTATCCCTCCATTCTTGCTTCCATACTTTATCACAGAGTATGTTTTGGTGACAGCTATGTCCCAGGTAGTATGATATATGTTGTATTCAAAGATATGTGGCACATATGCTCATGGGGTTTATAGTCTAGCATTGAGATTGAGAAATATTCCTTCACTGTAAAGTGGAATTGATATGACATTTTAAAGATGTTGAAAAATCCTGAAGCTTAAAGAAAACCTCAAACAAAATTGATTCATTCAACTTTTTTAATATACCTTTTATTAAAAAAATATTTTTTTATTGTACCTTTGATGAAGGTTTATAGAACAAATAGTTTCTCATTAAACACTTAGTATACATATTGTTTTATGACAACGGTTAACAACCCCACGACATGTCAACACTGTCCCTTCTCAGCCTTGGGTTCCCTATTACCAGTTTTCCTGTCCCCTCCTGCCTTCTAGTCCTTGTCCCCAAACTGTTATGCCCCATTAGTCTTGTTTTGTTTTATGGGGTGTCTAATTTTTGGCTGAACGGTGAACCTCGGGAAAGACTTCATTACTGAGCTGAAAGGGTGTCCAGGGGCCATACTCTCAGGGTTTCTCCAGTCTCTGTCAGGCCAGGAAGTCTGGTCTTTTTTTTTGTGAGTTAGAATTTTGTTCTACATTTTTCTCCAGCTGTGTCCGGGACCGTCTATTGTGATCCCAGTCAGAGCAGTCAGTGGTGGTGGCCCGGCACCATCTAGCTGCACTGGACTCAGTCTGGTGGAGGCCATGGTAGTTGTGGTCCGTTAGTCCTTTGGACTTATCTTTTACTTGTATTTTGTTTTCTTCATTCTCCCTTGCTCCCGAAGAGATGAGACCAGTGGAGTATCTTAGATGGCTGCTCACAGGCCTTTAAGACCCCAGACGCTACCAACCAAGGTAGAATGTAGAACATTTTCTTTATAAACTGTGTTATGCCAATTGAGCTAGATGTTCCCCGAGATTAACCTATCATTTTTAAAGTTATTTGACTTAAATAACTTTTTTTGATTAACAGCTATAATGTATTTTAGATACAATAGTCTATGGAACATGCATGAGAAAAACAAAAGGAAGCAATATAAAACCATGATTAATATTATTTTAAATTACTAACACAAGTCTTTCTGTATACGCACATACCTTAGGTTTGAAATGACATATCAAGTGGCCTCTTTTTATATATGTTAGGACTACCAAATGAATAAATCTTATGTTATCTTGGAAGTAAAACTAATAATTCACTCATTTATCAAATTAGAGTTGCTGGTTATAGTTATGTTGTTAAAGTAAACTATTACTTTAAAAATCAAACAAACAAACACACACAGAAAAACGAAACCCACTGCTGTCAAGTAGATTCCGACTCATAGCGATCCCTTAGGGCTTCGGAGGCTGTAAATCTCTACAGAAGCAGCCTGCCACGTCTTCTCGCGGGGAGCCGGAGCCACTGGTAGTTTTGAATCGCCAGCCTGTCGGTTACCAGTCAATCGCGTTAACCACTGAGCCACACATGACATTACATCTTTACAAAAATTTCCTAATATGGTGAAATTTGACTCAATTGCTATAACGTTTAAATGTATTGAAATATTTTAATATACATATACACATATTTGTTGCCACCCACTCAGTTCTGATTCATGGTGACCCCATGTGTTACACAGGAGAACTGCTCCATAGGGCTTTCTTGGCTGTACTCTTACTGGAAGCAGATCAGCAGGACTTTCTTCAGTGGTACCGCTGGGTGGGTTCAAATCCCCAACCTTTAGGTTAGTAGTTGAGTGCAAACCACTTGGGTCATCTAGGGACCTAGTACTTAGTTAAGGGAATTAATATATCTGGCTTTCATTTGTATAGTGCTTTTTAATTTTCACTTTGGTTTATACGTATGATCTTATTTGAAATAATGAATATAGAATTACTGGAACTGAGGCAAGAAACAATTGTGGAACAGAATCATGGTGATATTGACCAAAAGTATGAACAGCACCATAACATGGTATTTTGGGGTTCACTGAATGTTTATGTACCTTTATTTAGAAATATGAAGCTCAATTCAGACATGTTAGACTCAGTGATGCTTCCCTCCATCCATACATAATCTCCCTATTGCCATTCTGTTCCCTTATGATCTATTCTCCACACTAAAGGCAAAGTACTTTTAAAAACAAAAGTCAGCCACAGAATTACCTTCTTAAACTTCCCAGTGCTTTTCATTGACCTCAGAATGAAACCCAAAGTTCTTACCACCACCTGGAAAATGTTACATGCACTGGTCCCCTTCGTACTCTCTTTCTCTAAGAAATTTCAACACCTATATATTAAGTCTAAGAAAATGAAAGTTGAAACCAGAGAAGATTGTGTTTGTGTTCTTGTTCAACTGCAAAAAGGGTAGTTATGCATATGTAAAAATGTCCACGGTAATTATTTCTTATTTGTAATTAAATAAAAAGGAAGATCAATTAAGCTCATGAGTACTTACCGAGAAGCATGTCATAAGAGCCAATAGGCTCAGGATCAGGTAAGATGCTCTCATTGTTTTCGGCTGTTGTTTGAAAGCAAGCACATGGATTGTCCATTTCAGTTGTTGTAAAAGATCTCTTCTAAGTGATTCAGAATATAGTTTAAAAAAGTAATTATTCTGAGACATGGTCATTAGAATTGTGGCTGAAGAATGTACTCATATGAGTATATGAAATATAAAAGTATATTTGAATTCCTTATTAATGCTAGGAAATATAATTCTATCTATTTATCTATCATCTCTATTGATGGAATCGGTACTACTGAATTTTTTGTAAAATGGTTAATGAAAAATTTCCAAAATATGCGGTGACTGTTAATGGGAGATAAATAGTTAAATCATATTAGATTCAAGAAATAACTCCATGTTCAAATGCAATGATATACTGCATTTATGAATCAAATATAAATGGCTTGTGGATTTTCTGAGGGTTAACTAGTCTATATCTGTCTTCATTTTTATTATGGAATATTTTCAAGAGTTGGTATAATTAAAAGATTTCCCACTGAACTCAGAATTTTAGAAACATGTATTGATATCTTTGGGAAGGGTTAGGAGATGCTAAGATCTCACCTTAGCACAGTAAGGGTATCTCCTCACTTGAAGAGCTGCCCTAGGTGTTTCACAAAAAGAGCCACCGACTGTAAGACTGTTAATTCCCTGCCAGACTGTGCTTTCTATAAATGACCTCACTTAATCATGATGAGGTACAAATGAGGATGGTATTATTATCTTCACAACACAGACAAGAAAAGGTGGCTTATCCAAGACCACAGATTTCCTAAGTAAATGAATATGAATTTGAATCCCAGATTATCCACCTCTCACTTCCATGGCTTAATTCAGATATAGTAGTAAATCAGGAAAAGAAGTATTTTTTCAAAACTTTCCACAATACAAAGAAGAAAGTCTTTTGTGAAAACATTTTTTATGTATACTCTTGGTTTCATTACTTCTAAGACCTTATGATGGGAAAAATATTTTTTTTTCCTGGTATTTTTATTTGTTCTCATTTGGAGTTATTCTTAGCCCAGCTCCCACTTGGTCACATTCTCTATGCTCAAGGACAGGGAATAATGATTCCAATATCATTTTCTAAATCAATGGTCAGGTAGAATTATTCAGTAGGCAACTGAGATTACTGTTTTGAGCCTTGTGAGCAATCTATAGACTTGAAATATATATTTTGCAGTCAAAAACATATACTAGAAGTTCCTCTAGGTTTAAATTTTCAAATCATTGCCATTTCTTGAAATAATTTTTTTTGTTGTTATTAAAGTCTAGTCAACTTTGGTATGTTTCTTTTCTTCTATTTATACACGTTCAGACACATAAAATAATCAGTCTTATTCTCTCATGAACCTACTTCTGAAAGAGTAGAACAAAACTTCAAGGTCTTGAAGTATCTAAATCATATTTTTGGAGAAGAAATTCACAGTTAACACTTAATAACCTCCCTGAAGGGCCCATGATTTCTGGCTTGTGGAAAAGCTAATCAGGATTGAGTAGGAGAGGGAGGGAGCTAAGGGTTGCCCTCAGAATATGATTAATACGATTGAGACCTGAACCTCTCAGAATAGACTTGGGGCCAGGGCTGGTGGTGAGGAAGCTGGGACCTCAATCTTTGCAGGTGGATCTTTGACAAGTAACATCGGGATGGTGGTGATAACTGGACTGTTCAACCCAGATTGAGAAGCTCCTATTTTAGATAGGAAACTTAACTTTCTTCCAAAGTGGCTGAGTATGGCACAGGTAGGATCACTGTGATCCCTCAGATGCCCATCTCCTGGAATTCTGTTTATCTCATTAGAGGAGGGACAGAGATGACTATCAATCTTGGAATGGCCCAGAACTTTAGGGGGCATGATGGCCCCCTCTTGCTTTAGTGGTGTTGGCAAGGGACATCAAATCACTGATTACCTCCATACCGTATCCTCTTTTGCCTACCAGAGACACAGACTATAGCAAGCAAGCCTAATGTGGAATCATTGTTTCTTTGGGAAATGCTGAATCATTGTTTCTTTGGGACAATTCCTAATGCTAGATCCAAGATCTACAGGAAGAAAATTTGACTTTGACTATAAAGGGTTCCCAGAAGAACCCTTTTCACTCCAGTAAAAGAAAGGTGGGATTGGAATATAAATATGAAAAGCCTCCCTGATCCTAATAAATATTTTGCTTATGGCTCCTAGGATTAAGTGTGAGAGTGGGGGGTGTAATGAGATGCTTCTTTAAGAAAAAAAACAGTTAAAAGTAGAGAGAACTACATTCTGAAGAAGACTTCAAATTCCCCTTTAGGGAGAGTGAGGGAGGATGGCACAAGTGAAACTTCTGGCCTGGGTATTTTGGTCCAGAGTCAATACTATAGAATTGGAGGGGGATGCATGGGGAGAATTGGTGGAGATAGGAAGGGAGTTGTAAAAGAATTTCTGAGAATGGAAACAAAATTAAAAACAATACTAGAGATTTATTATTCAATCAACGATTCACGAATTGGGGAACACACAGTCTAAACCATGTGATTCAAAGAAACATGGCAGTATTGCAGTTAATATAGTCAGAGGGGAACAAAGAGAGTCCTGGAAGTCTGGGCGGTTTTTCAGAGGTTCATTAAAATGCCCTTGGACATCCTTTCTTCTCTGAAATGTTAGTTTGCTTAAGAAGGCAAATGCTATAGTTTTTTTTTTTTAGGAGAGTTATCCCATGCCTGCTGAGAGGAGGCAGATAACTAGGCGTCTGCCTGTCTGGAATGCAAAAGTTAAAAAGCAAAAACTGTTGCTTATACATAAATTTACAGAAACAGGCTAATTACTATTTCTACAAGTTAGGTTACTTACCATTTTAAACCTTTGCCCTGTGAAACCAGGTAGCAGCCATGCTCTTCTGGCATGGCACAAAGGGCTCTGTGTTGGGTTTAGCTTCCACAGCCACAGCGTGGATCACCACGGGGCGAGAGATTGAAGGAGAAATCTGAGTAGTTGCCAGGATTAGGAAATCTTGGGGAAAGGGGGGGGGAGAGAGAGAGAGAGAGAGAGAGAGAGAGTGTGTGTGTGTGTGTGTGTGTGTGTGTGTGTGTGAGAGAGAGAGAGAGAGGGACGGAGAAAGAGAGTGAGAAGGAGTGGCATTATTTCTATAAAGTTTTCTATGTTACATGACATGTGAAATTTCTGTCTGTGACCTTTAAGAAAACTTTGGTAAACACCTTTATCAGGCTTTTAGAGATGGACTAGGATTTCTTTGGATGTGAGCCCTGGATATTCCTGTATGATATAATTGTCCAGTGATGGGTCAACTTCATTTAATTAACAGAGACTGCTCTGTGCCAGGCATAATATTTTAATTTAAAAGTGTATACATGATTTTTTTAGAGGACAAGAATATTGGAAGTAATATGAAGACTTTATTAGTCACTTATGTACCATGCACCCATTTTTATATTTTATTTTTATTTTGCTTCTACTTATATCTGCATGGGAGAAGATTTTAACAGGTAACTTTCTGAATATTTCTCTAATATATTCTGGTTTAAGAGTTGTCATAAGGTCAATTATTCATTTAATGTCTTGTATGTGCTCTTATGCTTTGGTACAAGGGCAGGAGTATAGCCAGTGGCAGGAAAGTTAGGGGTTACATTGATTTTTAACATTAAAAGGACCCTTTTCTCTACTTGACTATATTGTAAAACTATTTATTAGCTGAGAGATTAGTTTATCTCTTTAATTTCAGTTACTGGGACAGCAGACAATTTTATAGTTTGTTGACAATTTTGTTCTTTTCTTCAAATGAGATGTTTTCCTCCACAATTCTATAGCACTTGCACAATGACAACAATTCTATTTTATGTCAAGTGTGCAAATGAAACTATATTTTAATTGGCATATAATATAACACATTTGTGAGAAAAAATAATCATTACAGAACTTTTGGTGTCAGATTGGATCTATTAGTAGTTAGCTTTAACTCTGCATATTAACTTCAAGATTAACATAAAGTAGTAATTATTAGAATAAAGTAATGAATAGAAAAGCAACAGATATAGATGGTTTGGAACCAGAAGTTAGCTTCTGAGCATGTAGAAATGTTAAGTGGTTGGTGTAATATCAGAGCTAGTAAAATCATCAGAAGGATCAATGTAGTCAGTTGTGTCCGTGCTGAGATCAGTGGCATCAGGTTCATATCGAGTGTAGTGTCATCAAATCTGCTGGTGTAAAATGTTGTCATGTCATCTGTGGTGATCAACATATTGCCTGTAGAGGAAGTGGGCAAAGTTGTAGTTTCAATTGCGGTAGAATAAAAAACTGTGGAAGAAGCAGTTGAGAGAGAGGGAAGTAGGAGGGTCTGTGGAATCAAAGATGGTCACAGTTGATCTTGGTGAGCTGGAAGCAGCAGATGTGATGAAAGCAGATGAAATTCTAAGAGATATGGTTTGCTCAGACAAAGTATTAGTTGTAGCAGTGATGGAAACAGTAGATGAAGGGCTGGTGGTGGCTATATTGGTGGCTGCTTGTGTGATGGTAGAAAGATAAGCAGTGTTTGTAAGTGCAGGGGTGGTAGGTGGAATCGTGGTGGAAGCCAGTGTGGTAATGGCAGACAGAGTGGTTCTTGCTAGGGAAGATGTTCCAGATGTGGTAGAAAAAGCTCCTGTACCAGAAACAGTAGTGGAGGCTGATGTTGCGGAGAGCAGCTGTGTCAGCCTCTGTGGGAATGGAAGTAGATGTGGCTGTAGGTTGGAACTGGTAGGGGCAGATGTGCTTGTAGGAGAAAGAGAAGAAGTTTTAAGAGCAGGTGTAGCAGATATAGCTGAGGTTGTAGGAGAAATGGCAGTGGAAGCCTGGGTGATGGTTAAAGGAGCAGAGGTGGTCATGGAAACAGGTGTGGTTGTGGTGGACACAGATGTAGCAGAGGAAGCTGTGGTGGCAGCCCCTGAAGTGAGTGAAGTAGAAGTATCTATAAAATTAGGAGTAGTAAGGGCAGTTGTGGCAGTAGCAAAATTGGTAGCGATAGTTTGTGTGGTGGTACAGGAAGCTGAAATTGTGGCCATAGATGTTGTGCTGG